GGCGCACCCGCCGCGGCGGCCCCGCCCCCAGCATCCCGCCCACGGCGCGCAGGGCTCAGACTAGCGTTATGGCTGCGTCGGCCCCTCCGCGGTTGGAGGCGCTGCTGGCCGAGGCCCGGCGGGCCTTCCGGGAGGAGTTCGGGGCCGACCCCCAGCTGGCGGTGTCAGCGCCGGGCCGCGTCAACCTGATCGGGGAGCACACGGACTACAACCAGGGCCTGGTGTTGCCCATGGCGAGTGAGGGGCCCGCGGTCGCCGGCCGGGCGTGGGGAAGGGCGGGCAGCCGAGCGTGGGCGGTGAGCCGGCCGCGCGCGGGAGACCCTGGGACGCGCCGGCGTGCACGTGCGAACAGAGGCCGCCTTTCGGCTGCAGCTCGCCTTCTGGGGGCTGCCGATCCTCACCCTCTACCCGGGAGAAGGTTTCCCTCCAATGTGTAGTCGGGGCCTTTGGCCTCCAGAGTCCCCAACCGCAGACCTCTCGTCCCAGCCAGTCTGTTTACAGAGGAAGAAAGAGACCCAGAGACGGGTAGGGGAAGTGCTGAGGATCTCACAGCTGGTTCTTGGTGTGTTACCTTTCAGCTCTCGATCGATCGGGTGCTTCAGCCCCACCCCTCATCTTGGGCAATGGACTGCAGTGCATCTGAGGCCACCCCGTAACGGGAAGGCGTGGGGCTTCCTGGGTCTTATTTTCCTGTCGAGCTAGCTTGCTCTCCCCCTGGGCCCACAGGAGGGCAGAGTCCAGGTTTGCCGCCTGCCTGCAACTGGCCCCACCCTCCAAAGACCCAGGGGGCAGAGCTCCAAGCTCCAAGCCCCCAGGGCCCGTGTAGCACTCTGAGCCACACACACTTCATTCCGTTCATGTTGAGCTTCTTCCCCAATGGGCCTGTCTGTCCCCAGAAGCAAAATCTTGGCTGGAGGGCGTCTCTGGAGGGGCTTAGATCATCAGCTGGTCTGATCCCCTGTCTCTCTTGCCAGGCACTGGAGCTTGTGACCCTGCTGGTGGGCAGCCCCCGAGCAGACGGGCTTGTCTCTCTTCTCACCACATCTAAGGATGCTGATGAGCCTCAGCGGCTGCAGTTTCCACTGCCCACAACCCAGAGGTCACTGGAGCCTGGGACCCCCCGCTGGGCCAACTATGTCAAGGGGGTGATTCAGCACTACCCAGGTATGGGGCCCAGGACCCGATCAAGTTTGTGGTGCCCCTAGAAATGACTTCAGTTTGTATGAGGTGCCACGGGGAAGGCTTGCGGGTTGGAGCCTGCCGTTGTACAGATCAGGAAACCGATGCACCGAAGGGTTTTCAGAACTTGACTTGGGTTTCTTGTTACACAAGTGAAGGAGCCAGAATTCAAACCCCAGCTTGCTGGCCTTTAGAGCCCTAAATCAGGAGGACAACTAGGAAGGCTGCCCCAGCACCCTCAGGGGTGGGAGGATGGAGGGTGGTGGGCTCCTTGGCCCCAGCAGGCTGCTGGTGGCCTCTGACAGTTGAGACACATGGTCTGGAAGCAGTTGCCAGCCAGTCGTCTCCCTTCCCACCAGGACGCGCGCCCTGGCCCCGTCCCTGCAGCCCCTCTTACCGTCACCATTCTTTCCTGCAGCTTCCCCGCTCCCTGGCTTCAGTGCAGTGGTGGTCAGCTCAGTGCCCCTAGGGGGTGGGCTGTCCAGCTCTGCATCGCTGGAAGTGGCCACATACACCTTTCTGCAGCAGCTCTGCCCAGGTATCACCTAGGCCCCGGCCCCCGGCCTGCCCTCCTTCCCTGAGGTCTCTGTGGTCTGAGTTCTTCCCATCCTAGCCTGGGGAGGGGGAGTGTCCCTGGAGCTACTGCTGTTCCCACGCGGCCACCCTGTGTGCCACCTCCCAGGCCCTAGTTTCCCCACCTCACCCTGTGCCGCAGACTCGGGGGCAGTAGCTGCCCGGGCCCATGTGTGTCAGCGGGCAGAGCACAGCTTCGCAGGGGTGCCCTGTGGTATCATGGACCAGCTCATCGCTCTGCTGGGGCAGAAAGGCCACGCGCTGCTCATTGACTGCAGGTCAGGGGTTCCCTTTGTACCCTCCCACCTCACGATCAGGAGCTCCTGGGTGGAGTGTGCCTACCACGAGGCCTGGCAAGCAGACCCTTGGCCTTGTCATCTCCCCAACTCTTAACTCCATCACAGGTCCCTGGAGACAAGCCTGGTGCCTCTGTCAGACCCCAAGTTGGCCGTGCTCATTACTAACTCCAATGTTCGCCACTCCCTGGGCTCCAGCGAGTACCCCCTGCGACGCCGCCAGTGTGAAGAGGTGGCCCGGGCACTGGGCAAGGAGAGCCTTCGGGAGGTGCGGCTGGAGGAGCTTGAGGGTAAGAGTTGAACTTCCCTGGAAATAGCTGGTCTCCCTGCTGGGTCCTCTGTGTGACCTTGATCCTGCCGCCTGTGCCCTGAAATCCAGGGCCATTCCCCATGCTCTGCCCACTTTTCCCCAAATATGGAAAACTTAGGGCTCTGGTCTCAGCAGAGCTGCTTGAAATCTATTTTTGTGGTAATGGAGTTCAAATCCAGGGCCTCATACATCCTAGGCAAGCACTCTACCACTGAGCTGTACCTTGAGTCCTGCTTGAACACCTCTAAGATTGCACTTTTGTGGCCTCTTGAGGGTTGTACTATGTCCCACTCACCCTGAAAGCCCCATGCGTTGGCAGTTGCTTACACTGCTGTTCATGGAGCACTGCTGTGCTAGCCCGCTGCAGGGAGCGCCAGTGACACAGTGATGAAGGGGAGCGGAGGCTCCGGAGGGGAGTTCCTTAGAATCAGGCCTGATATCCTCTGCCTCTCCCAAGGCCCCCTTCACTGAATAGTAGCTATGCACCCCACCAGGGCCGCTGCCCACAGCCCCAGGCCCACAGGCAGTGGTGACAGGGCTGCTGACTCCTGTTCCTCCCTAGCGGGCAGGGAGCTGGTGAGCAAGGAGGGCTTCCGGCGGGCACGGCACGTGGTGGGTGAGATCCAGCGCACAGCCCAGGCAGCAGCTGCCCTGAGCCGTGGGGACTACAGAGCCTTTGGTCGCCTCATGGTGGAGAGTCACCACTCACTCAGGTGAGGCCCTGGGGTGCCCCACACCTCCCAGGCCCAGGCGGGTCCCAAGTCCATCTCTCCTGTATCCTCTCTCCAGGGACGACTATGAGGTGAGCTGCCCTGAGCTGGACCAACTGGTTGAAGCTGCATTGTCTGTCCCTGGGGTTTATGGCAGTCGTATGACGGGTGGAGGCTTTGGGGGCTGCACAGTGACCCTGCTGGAGGCTTCTGCTGCTTCCCGTGCCATGCAGCACATACAGGTGGGTGAGCGCCAGAGCCTGGAAGGGCAGGAGAGGAGGTTCTGGAGGCACTGTCTCCTACTCAGATCCTCCCGCCTGTCCCCCAGGAGCAGTACAGCGGGACAGCCACCTTCTACCTCTCTCAGGCGGCAGATGGAGCCAAGGTCCTGCAATTGTGATGCCCCTGGGACAGCTCAGCTGGTGCAGCAAGCTATTCCACTCTGCCTCTGATGCCCACTTTCCACAACTGGGTGCTCAATAAACTTGTGCCTCAGACCTGAAACCTGCCTGCCTCTAGAGGTGGCTGTGTGCTCAGGGCCAGAGAAGGGGATTGTCAGAATTGCCTTTCTGCCTTGGGCTGGCACCCTGCAGGAGAATGGACAGGACAAAGCCAGGCAGTAGCAAAATCTTTTATTAAGTGCAGAACAAATGCTGGGGCCTCGTGCTGGTCCAAGCTCTTTGGTTACAAATGGGTGTGGGCTGGGGGCCGAGAGGGGCAGCCTGAAGAGTCTCCTGGGACCTCTGCGCCTTCATGTTTCCCAGAGAACACCTGCCCCTGCTCTGTGGTAAGCATGCAGGTAGGCTGGGCCCCTAGGGTCTTAAGAATGTTGCAGCTGAGAAAGTGGGCCAGGGGGGCTGGGGATTTAGCTCAGCGGCAAAGCGCCTGCCTGGCAAGCGCAAGGTCGTGAGTTCGGTTCCTGGTACCGGAGAAAAACCAAAACCAAAAAAAAAAAAGAAAGTGGGCCAGGATGAGAAGGCAGGAAGGGCCCAGGTTTTCAGACATGGCTGGGGCTGGGGGCTCAGGTTTGGAAGAACTGTTGGTCCACCTGGGTGCTGAGGGTTCCACTGGCGGTCAGTGTCCGGCTCACAAACTCCTGGGTCACATGCCGGGTGAGAGAGCCACCTACCTCCAGGTGCTGGGACCCCAGGGTCAGCCCATCTGCAGGGGAAGCAGTGAAGAGGATCTTGTCTGCATCCCTGCCCACCTCTGTGCCCTCTGGGGCATGATCCCCTGCCCCTGTAACTCACCCACTAGGAAAGGCTCGGTGCTGCTGCTGTGGGTGGTCGTGATGCTGCTGTACTCCCCTTGCAGTGGGGGCTGGAAGAGCCCAGGGTGGCCACTCAGCTGTGGGAAGGGACCTGGAGCGGGCAGATTGGCCAGTCAGGCGAGGGCAGGGGAAGGCATGGCCAGAGACAGTGGGAGTGCCCAAGGGGAGCAGCCTACCTCCATCCTGGGACTCAATAGTGATGATGCCCTCACGCTCCGGCCCGAAGCCCTCGGTGGTCCTGGCCTGCACCTTGAACTTGTAGGGCACGTTCTCGCTGAGGCCGGGCACCGTCAGCCGGCTTTCCAGGTTGTCCCCATCCACTCGGAATGTGGTGGCTGGCCCTGCACAGGGAAGCTGCCTTCAGCCTTGACGTCCCCTTCCCTACCTCCCACCTCCCACGACAACCCGTCCCTGGGGCGGGCAGCACCTCCTCCTTGAGCCAGCTCACAGGTCACCAGGTAGCCCAGGATATCTCCATTGGGCCTCCGGGGCCGCTCCCAGCTCAGCTGCAGCGAGTCAGGGCTCAGGGCGGTGAACACCAGCGGGCCTGGGGCGCTGGGGGTGCTCAAGGTGAAGGTGGAACCTGAAGGCAGCAGAGGGCGGATGTCAGTAAGGGGGTGCTTGGTGGGCATGATGGTGCCACTGTGGGGGCAACCTGCTCACCTGGCAGGGGGCAGAGTGGGCTCTGCGGGTGCACCTGTGACTCAATGGTGATGACGCCCTCGCGCTCCCGGCCCCAGCCCTCCTGGCTTTGGGCCCGCACTCGGAACACGTATGAGTGGTTGGGCAGGAGGTCTTCTACCACCACCGAAGTCTGGCCGGGGTTGGGGATGTTGAGCCGGTGCAGCTCACCTGGCGGGTGGGGTGAGGGCAGGATGTAGAGCAGCTTCCCTGCCATCCCTGGCCTCCCTTCCCGAGGGGCCCAGGTTATGTTTCAGATGTGTCTGTCCAGGTATGTACCACTTCCCAGTTCCTGAAAGGCCACTCAGGCCAGCCCTGGACCCATGAGGTTTTATTAGACAAAATCTCATAGGGAATGGTGAGAAGTCTGGGGAGATGGATGAAGCTCAGAAGAGAGGAGACAGCCGGTGGTGTGGTACACACCTGTAATCCCAGCACTCAGGAGGCTGAGGCAGGATCATCTAGAGTTCAAGACCAGCCCGGACTATATAGGGAGACTGGGTCTCAAAAAAACAAAAAGGCAAAGAAGGGGAGTGGCATGGTAGGAGAAGCCTCTCAGAATGGCTGGGTTGGGCCTTTCATGCTTAAGGGACCCAGGTAGGTTCCTGACTCAGCTGAGGCGCCTGTGTGTCCCCATGGGCCACCCCTGTAGCTGGCAGCTGCCCTGCCTCACCGCCATTCAGCAGCTGGTACTCCACGCTGTAGCCCAGCAGCACACGCTCACACTGTGGCTCCTGCCAGCTCACTTTCAGAGATGTGGGCCCCAGGGCCGAGAACACCAAGCGGGTGGGAGTGTCAGGCACACCCACGGCGGCGCGGGAGTCTGGAGACAGGAGACTGCAGTCAGGCCGAGAGGCAGGGGCCGGAGTTCCTGGGTGGAATGAGCTCTGCCCCTGGCCTGCCTTGCTTGGCCGGCCTGCTGAGGTACATAGGCAGCTGGTCAGCCGCTCGCTCACCCCGCAACACCCTGTTCAGGCTGCCCAGCACCTCCCACACAGCCTCAGAGTGGGTGCAGGCCCAGCCATTGCTGAGAGAGCATGAGCCCCGACCTCCACTCCTTGCCCCTGCCCAGCCCTGAATCCCAGCAGGGCAGAGGCTGTGTTAGGCGTCAGCGCTGATGAAGATGGACAGTGGTTAGCTCCTGGGGATGAGGGGGTGCTCCTGTGAATGGAATGAGGCTGACGTGCTGGCTGGGCTGGCTGTGAGTGGCCAGGTGACGTGCAGCATGGTGGAGAGCCATGGGGACAAAACGATGGCCACCCCTGTACTACCTGGGCCCCAGGAGGGCGCTGCTGGCTGCCCGGCCAGGATTATGGAGTCTGGAGAGCCCCTGGGCGGGGGGAGCCCCTTCATCTGAGCCCGACTCCAGGACCCCAGGGCCCAGGACAGCGGGAGCCTGCTCCTCCCATCTTCCCAGATGGGAGGGAGGCCTAGGGCAGGACAAAAGAAGTGTGAGAGGGCAGGGAGGTGGTGTGTGCTGAGACGGGCAGTGGGGGCGGCAGGCCAGGTGGTGGAAGGGAGGAAGGTTGGTGGGTGAGGTGGGGAAGCCAGAGGAAGTCACTCACCCTGGGAGGACAGGGATGTGAGGGTAGAGTAATCCCGGGGCAGTGTGCCGGAGCGGGACTGCTCCGTGCGGGTCAGTGAGTGGTAGTCCCTCGTGAGGGTGGAGGATGTGCTGAGCACGCGGTGCGACAGATGTGGGCTCAGGTGGGTGCCGTAGGCAGCATTGGCCACTGTCATCCTATGCAGGGAGTTGGCACTGCCTGGGAAGGCAAAGTCCATCCGGCCGTTCACCAGGTGCTCTGCAAGGGAGAGATCAGTCAGGGAGGCCCGAATTAAACCTGGGCCTTATAGCTGGGGGATCCCGAGGTTCCCCGACCTCAGGAGCGTTGGAGTAAATACAGTTGGGCACCCTCCAACTGCCAGGGGGAGCCAAACACAGCAGGCTCCACCTGGGGGACTCTCCTGCCTCAGCCGTCTTGAGAGGAACCCTGAGCCTACCACTAGACACAGCAAGCTGCTCTGGGGCGCCCCCAGTACTGGGGCTCAAAGCCAGTAATACTCTGTTACTGGGCTACAGCCCCCACCCCACTCTTTCTCTTTGAGATATGATCTTGCTTGTATGTCAGGCAGGATTCAAACTTGAGATTCATACCGGGCATGGTTAATCCCAGCACTCGGGAGGCTGAGGCAGGAGGATTGTTGCAAGTTCGAGACTAGCCTGGGCTACAAAGTGAGCTCAAGGCCAGCCTGGACTGCATATCGAGACCCTGTCTCAAAAAGACCAACAAAACAAAACAAAAAAAACAAAAAACCTTGAAGTCCTCCTGCCTCAGCCTCCCTCAGTGCACTGCCACACCCGGAAGGCTGCTGAAATTGCATGCCTCCAGCCAGCCGGACACCGTCTTGGCTGGGTGTCACTGCCCCATCCTGCCTCGGGGAGACCCTGGGCTCTTGAGGTCTCTCTGGTGTCATTGCAGAGCTCTGGCTGGTCAGGGTACCCTGATGGGCAGCCAGCTCAAGTAGGGCACCAGGGCAACGAGTGAGCCTCGGGCGGCTGGTCACCTCCGGGGGGCCGGGGCGTCGCCTCGCGGGCCCAGCTGCCACCCTCCCCATCCGCGACCCCCTCGACGCCACAGCTGTCGTCGTCGGAGCGCCCGCTGCTGGCCGACAGGCGCGGGATAAGCTCTGGGGGCAGCCGCCACGTGACGCGCCTCAGGTCCAGCTCCTCCCCCAGCAGGGTCTCGAACTTCCAGCGGCCGCCTTGGGAACAACGAAGGGCCGCGTTGGCGGCGCCGCGACGGAACCCATCCTCCCGGCCCTCTGGCAACTTGGGGCCGGCCACCGGAGAGACGAGAGACCCTCACCCGCGTAGCTGTGGCCACAGCCCGAGGTGAAAGGCCCGGTACCAGCCTGATGTTTCTTTTGTTACCTAAATGCTTTCAGCTTTTTGCCTGTTCAGCAGAGTTACCAAGTCCCTGCCTGCCTCCAAGGGCAGCTCCAGAAGTGCCAGTAGCAACTGAGCTGGGGCTCCTGGTCCTTAAGAGGCTCAGACCCACAAACACTTGAGGAGACACCCCCTACACACAGGCAGGGAAGGACAAAAGTGCGAACGATAAACATGTTCTGGAGGATTTTCCACTCCAGGCCTTGTGTGACTCATGTCACGTTTTACAGCTTAGAAAACCAAAGCAAGAGAAAGTAGCTGATCCATGCAGTGAGCCACGGTGGGGCCTGAATAAACCTGCGTACCCGCATCACTGCCTCATCCGCTCCTCCCACTGCTTGAGCTGGCCTGGGGGGATGGCCTGCGTGTCTTGACTCAAAGGCACAGCCAGGGACCTTTCAGATCCCGTGTTTGAAAGCCCAGGTACATGTGTGTGAACCTGTGTTCATCTGCCTCCAGGCAGATGCCTATATGTCCTCATACACGGTTGTGTGCAGTTGCCCGTGGGTCACTTTGGCTTTGTCCCCTCTGTGAGCTCCCGTGTTTGAGGGTGAGCGGGGACTTTTTGCCTTGAGCTCATGCCCAGCAGGTGCCAGCCCCTTTGCT